TCCTACTGCTAACTTTTTTTTTTTTTTTTTTTTTTTTTTTTTTTTTTAAATCTTCATTCCTACTGCTAACTTTTCCATCCTGCCCCCGGGCCGTAGCCCTATTACCACCCTGTCCCTGCCTGAAGCACAGCCACAGAGTACGGCCAACAGAGTTCGCGCACGGACCCAGTCTTGGACTCAGGCAGGCACACGGCACACCCACGTAAGTGGCAGATCACCCACATTCTTAGAAAGATCAACAAATCAAATCACAGCAGAACTGACTCAGCCTTAGAATTATCAGAAACGGCGAGAAAACAAATAAAAAAGACGGCATTTTCTTGTCCTTTGGGACATCTGATAAAAAAGACAACTGTTACGATTCTGGCTATCTTGAATCTTGAAATGCAACAACTCAAAGAACGAAAATGTCGTTCAATTGCAACTGAAATGAAAGAACTTGGAAAAAGAGAAAGACAAGGCAAGAAGAAGACGAAAAAAGAATGGAAGAACAAGAGAAAGATGAACACCAGCAAAGACCAATGTCAATCCCCCTTCATCTCGCCAGCATCTCCGACCTCCTTTTGCTCCCCCAACTTCTTCTTTACAATAATAATCATAATAACAATCAAAGAATGAACCAGCACCAATGTCCGAATGCTCTCCTTACTGCCAGCCACTCAAAAGGTCCACGTCAGGCATCTCAAACACCTTCTTCCTCCTTCACCGAGTAGGTGGCTATGGCGGACTAACGGAGCAAAGCTCCAATGTTCGGAGGACAATGCAAAGCGAATGTGTCATGCCTACCATGGCTGCCATGCCTATCACTACCCGGAAGTCTTCCTTGAAGATGCCAACCCCAACTAGGGCCTTTCAGGTGCAGCGCCAACCAAGAAGATGAAGATGCAGACCACTGTAGCCCGGTAAGCAACCCCACCACTCTCCGCCTTGCTCACTGTCTTCCTCCTTCTACTCCTATTTCCCCGGAATCTCCTCCTTGGTCCTCTCCACCATAGCCAAGGTGGACGACCAAGCCTCCCTTCTTCCTCTCCATTGCTGCTTGGTAGAGCGATCGCTCCAGCAGCCGGTCGCCAAACTTGCCAGCTGCAAAATGAGGAGGATCTCTTCGCTCTCCTCCAAGATATACCGGACTACTGCCTCTTCGGCCGGTGACTTTCCAGGCTGCGTGGCCTCCCCAAGCTACCAGTACCTTCCCCGTTTCGGAGGGAAACATCATAATGATTGCAGTCTCATATCCTCCTCCTGCAGGCTCTGGACTCAGGCTACTTGCACCGGTACCTTCCCTTCTCAGCCTACTGGATTCTAAATTCACTTCGGCCGCTGAAGGTACTAACTTTTTGCCTTCTTCTGCCTACCTACCCACTACTCGAGTGTTTTGCAACCAACGCGGGCCTAGCCAACCTCTAAATCCAGCTGCGGCCCCCACAAAAGCATGGCCACAGGTAAGTACCAGGCCACGGGCCTTTCCAGCACACAAGTACCCTGGTGAGTCACACACACACCCAAGCAATCATGCAGTCAGGCAAACACACGGAAACTCGGCAATTGTGCTCACACACGTACGTAGAAATCTCAGCAGGAAAAAAAAAAAAAAAAAAAAAAAAAAAAATCCCAGC